CGAAATATCACTCTGAATGGTATTTATGCTAGCCTGTGTACAGACGTCCCCCCTCCCGATTTTTTCTGAGGGAGGGGGGACGTCTGTACACAAGCTACATTTATGCCAAATATCACTACAAATTACAAACTGTATGCTATTAACTATACTAATACAATGTAACAAAGTAATAAATATGGTATTGCAGATTAATTGGAAAAGGAGAAAATATGACCAAAATTATTTAATTATCTGATTCAAACTCAACCGTCAGGCTGTTTTTATTGCTCGCCGTTTATAGACTATGTTAATATCAAAACATCTTGGTCCCAATGGACAGTTCCGGATCTGAATATTGAAAAAAAAAATCCTGCTGCTATATTATAGAATTTACCAGCCTCTAAATTTATATGAAAATAATATACCCTCTGGCCAAATTTCTACAGTAATCGGAATTAATAATATCGTGAATATAATTTTCATCATAATTTTGGTGGTTTTTGGTGGTCTCTACAAGCCTTGGGTTTCTTGTGTGCGTTACTTAGGCTGCTCCAGGCTGGGGAAAGGGCTGCCTGAGAGAATGTGGTCTGTCAAATAGAGGGTTGGCCCCTTCTTATATTTTTATATCATGTGATAACACTCAATTTTCATAAGCATCCTCTGTTGGCAATCAGTTTTTGAAAATGGGGTCCAATCCTGGTTTCTTTAGAAGTCGATTAACTACAGTAGTTTTCCATAGATCGGGAAAGTAACGAGACTGAAGACAAGTATAGTATTTGTAATATATGTTCATATATAATTAAAGTAATTTCTAAAAATATGTTCTATGGCATCATGAGGGGAATGGTAGGACGAGTCAGTGTTGACAAATCTTATATCAAAGTAATATACCATGTGGCAAAATTATTGCATTATAAGATTTTGTGAAGATTTTTTTGTCAAAAAAACAAGTTTATTTCTACTGTAGACTAAAAGAATTTACAGAAATATAATAATTAAGAACAATACGTGAAGTAGTTGGACACCCAAAAGAACTACTTACAATAATTGAAAATGTGCAAAGTCAGGAAAGAGGCATAAGAAATGAATTGATAATACACATAAATGTTTTACAATTGGTACCGAAAAAAACATATATATAGACAGCAGAAAACAGAAATATATATACATATTAAAGAAAAGAAGGGAAAAAAGTCCAAATATCAGTTACTGTAAAGATTAATAGAGACGGATAAAATATACAAACTACTACAAACTATAAGTTCAAGTTCAAGATCAAGTTCATTTATTCACACTTATTCAATTACAATACAACAACAATAAGGAAAAAAAATGAAGAAGTAAAAAACAGAGCTAACTATACATTGAATTAAACATAACAAAGGAAAAGAGTGTGTAGCAGCCAAAGGAGCCAAGCTTTTGAGTTGGCTACTACCACAGAGCGGTTACAAGTGGGTAGAGGTTATACGCGTTTAACTCTCCACCCGCCATCTTGGTCCCACGTGCCACGTCGCACGTGTACTGTAATTGCCCTTGAAAATTCGTCAATCCTGAAGTCCTCTCTCTGAGTTGTCCATGTCTCTGTCGTAGTTGCCTTGAACATTTGTTATACGAATGGTGTCGTGCATACTCGGAATCTCTTAACCATGGCATCATGCTCGTCACGCCTGTCAGGATTTGGCAGTGTCGTGATGCTCATTTTACAGAGGAGAAAACCCGTGCAAACTTACAATACATGCTGGATGAAATAAGCAGCGCCTTAATCTGACACTTTCACTCGCCATTGGTCGACTTGTCTCCATACAAACAAATTGGAGCTGCTAATATCGCTGTGAATAACGTAGCGCGGTTTGTTTTGGTGCAAGAAATTTAATGCTCCAGCTATAGCCAACTGCCACTTCAGCTGTGGGAAGGGATCACAGCTTCGGCAATTTTCGTGAGCTTGATTCCTTGACTGAGCTCTGTAACCAAAAGGGGACTTGATAGTTCATCGTTTGTTGCTCCAATGAATTCAACGAATTATGGGAAACTATAGGATGATGGCATCTTGACGCAATGTGCATCTCTCACTCAAACAGTTCTCTGTAATACGAGGAAAGGTTCTGAATTTCCTGGTGAATCTTTAGGACGGCGGGCGGTGCCGCTACAACTCTTGCTTTTGACAACCCTTCCCCAGCCTCCCCTCTTAAGGCATCTCTGTGTCCACCACTCCTCTGTAAGCTGAACGTAACGCTCGCTGAGCTGTTGAACGAGATATTGAAGTTTGAAGTTTGAAGTTTGAAGTTTATTAATTCATAAATACATAGCAGTTCGAAAACTGAATTGCGTATTTACGTTACAAAAATTAAATTAAACGTCAAAAACATTAACTAATATATCTTAATTGAGAGGAATAAAAAAGCTAAACGAAGAGCTGAGATGCTAAAAAAGTTGTCGAAATACGAAATTCAAAAACTCTAACCTATAAGTTACTTGCTTTAAGACATGAAAAGATAATAAAGCTATTCTTAAAACGATCGTTTTGAAACGTGGCATGATAAAAGGTCGCGCGCGCCTTAATGAATAAGTAGATTCGTGCGGTGCAGGTAGTAACTTACAAAGGCGGTGATTGTTGTCATTTACAATTTTGTGAAAATGTGACTCACATATTTTGTTATGGTGGGTTGCTAATTCATTAAAGTTTATAATAACAAGAGCCTCATGATAGCTAACACTGGGGCAGATGGTGGACATTGCTCTCTTCTGTATACTTTCCAATTCTTGCATTAAATATTTAGGCAAACTCAGTGAAGTGATAGGCCGGTACTGCATAGTCCATAATTGATCTAATACAACTAGAGTAGAAGAGCCCTAAATCAGTGCGAGTAACCTTGGCTCTCTTAAGTTGTAACAAAAAATATAATCTCTTGGAGGCCTTCTTAAGAATTTCATTAATATGAATATTCCAAGTCAAATCATTGGAAATATTCAGATCCAATAACTTTACACTGTCTACAACTTCTAACGCATCGCCGTTAATGAGAATGGGCTCAAATTCTTGCTGGGATTTTGTAAAGGATATTGGCATTTCTTTACACTTATCAGTGTTCAGCTGGACTCTGTTTTCTAGTGACCATCGTACTACTCTATCTGTAGTACGTTGGGCTTTGGTAAGTTCCCTTTGGCTACTGATTCGGAGATAGTAGTATCATCTACATATTTCCATAAACGTGCATTTTCGACAATAAGGTCGTTAATCATAATCAAAAAAAGCCAAGGCCCTAATTTGGTTCCCTGGGGGACGCCTGAGTTAACAGATTCCCACTCAGATACATATCCTTCACCAAGTTTGATTCACTGAGATCTGTTTGACAAAAAGTCAATTTTCCAATTAACTATACTATTTTAATTACCTCTTGTTCTTTTGCCCTCCGTTGTGCCTCCAAAGAGGCATTTTCTTCAACGTTTTCTTGAAGTTGGTGATTGCCTCTTTGCTGAAATAATGAGCGAGCATGACCTGAGCTCTTTCGTTATTTTTGTATATCGATACTGGAAATCCATTTTTATGAATAAAAAAAAAAATCACTATTACGGTCTTCTTCTAGCAATGTGCTTGAGGTTCCTATATAAGTAACATTTAGAAAATGAATCAAATTATAATAAAACTGTTAAAGCTTAGCCGCACCCTCCCCTGTGGGGGCCGCTACACGCGAGACTATCACCCACCCTACTTGCACATCTGGTGGGAGCACTTGTCTCTATTGTTTTCCAGGAAACTGCAACTCAGTACACATGTTTATAAAATGAAGTAATTATACAAACTGTTCGTTGAATGTTTAAAAAATAACAAACGAGTGAATGTGGTCACAGGTTATAGCAAAATAATATACCATCTGGCAAATAAAATCTTATGTAGAGTCTTTTTGTCACAAATTCCTGTTGATGAGACATAACTATTTGAAATATTGCCTTGTAGTAACCTTCTTCAACAAAATATTAACTAGCAAAGTACTAAAGGAGGTTTTTAGTCCAAAGAATGGGACTAATGTTTAGTCTATTAAAGTCTTTTTCTAAACAGAATGTGATTTATATATTCATATATCAAGTAATTTGTTTTAAATAACTCGTGGTACGCTCGCGCGTACCCACGAGTTAAAAATGTTCTATGAACAATGGCAAAACGAGTCAGTGTTGCCAAATCTTATATCAAAGTAATATACCATCTGGCAAAATTATTGCAGTATAAAATCTTATGTAGATTTTTTTGTCAACAACAACAACAACAAGTTTATTTCTACTGTAGACTAAAAGAATTTAAAAGAAATGTAATTAGTAATAAGAACAATACATAGTCACATACAGTAGTTGGACAACCAACAAAACTTAAAAGCTAAACTAGTTGGGTGATCATAATTATAATAACTGAAAATGTGCAAAGTCAGGAAAGAGGCATTGATAATACACATAAACATTTTAAAATTGGTACAAAAACAATATATATATAAACAGCACAAAACAGAAATATATATATACACATAAAGAAAAGAAAGGGAAAACATCCAAATATCAGTTAAGATAAACAGAGAAGGACAAAATATACAAAAAGAGAAAAAGGCTGTTAGGACCTGCATTATACAGCCAGAGGAGTCTGATCGCCATCTTTGCTGACCGCTGACCCTACATTTCAAAATTCCTGTTGATGAGACATAACTATGTAAAATGTTGTCTTATAAACTCTTCAAAAAAGCTATTAACTGACAAAGTACTGAAATTCTTTGAGCTATCCATCTCTCTCCTGTAGTTGCCCTTGGATATGGGTCAATCCGGATGTCCTCTCTCTGAGTTGTCCATGTCTTCGTCTTAGTAGCCATTGAACATTTGTCAAGCCTATCTAGTTTTTCTAGTTCACCAATGGTGTCTTGCATACTCGGACTCTCTTAAGGAACTTGACACAAACGTCTCCAGATGAGAGCTCGAAGCAGGTGGTTTGTTACCATGCAACTTGCTCGTCTTTCTGTCTGGATTTGGCAGTTTCCCGATGCTTATGTTACAGAGGAGAACACCTTCAAAGCTGTACAGATCGACCTTAACACGAAAAAACGAACGATGATAATTGACAACATATATTAATATTCGTTGGTCGACATTCAGGGGTAATGTGCACTCTCTGACGTCAAGTATTTCGCAACGTTGCCCACTCAGAGAGTTTCATTGTTAAATGACATGTTACCAACTCGAAGTACCCAATGAGAATGCGCGCTGCTGGGAAGGAATTGAACTAGTTTTTCTAGTTCACTATTGATGACTTCCTGTCTCTCTTGAGAAACTTGATGCAAATCTTCCGGATGAGAACTCAAAGACCCCGTTTGTCAGGTCATGTATAAATAGCAAATACAGATTAAAGATAGCAGACATCATACCCTGACAGTTTGAGTTTTAGCTTTGCTTCAGGAGCATTGTATACCGCAGCACCCCTACAAACGTACAATACATGCTGTATGAAATCAGCAGTACCATAATCTGACACTTTGCCTCCCATTGGACAGCCTGTCGTCACTGGATAATGTAGCGTGGTTTTCGTTTGTGCAAAAAATATAATGCGCCAGCCACATCCAGAGAAATTGCAGTAACTACAGCTGTAGAAAGATATCCCTGCTCTTGATTCCATTAACTCGGACACAAAAAGTTGACTTCCTAGTCCATCGTTTGTTGCTCCAATGACATTTGGCAAAACAACCATGACGACATCTTGACTCTATTTTTGCTGATTAAACAGAAAAATGAAAATCACCATATGGTCTCCTTCGATCAGTTACTTGATGTTCCAATATGGACGTTTTTCCATACCTTTCTTGTCAGGGCGGCTTGGTAGATAGGTGACAAGACAATTTTGTTTCTTTGAAGCAAATGGAGTGTTGTTCCTCTTCATACGAGAAACAAGATTAAAAGCATGTGTAACCTCTGTTCCATCCTTATAAGCCAGGAAGTGATTATGTGGATGTCGAAGAATCTGGAAGATTCTTTGGTGATTCCTCTTTGGTTACATGATGCCTTAGCGTTATCTTTGCTCCTTTTGTTTTCCTATAAACATTTTTCTTGTGATCCATATTTGAAGTAGAAATACTACTGCATTGTCAGCGACTTTATTTTTCCCATAGACATTTGTCTTCTTAGCGAGGTTGGAAATGGATACTGGAAATCCATTTTTCTGATCAAACAGAAAAATTATGATCACTATCGTGGTCTCTTCAATCAGTTGCTTGATGTTCCAATGGACATTTTTTCATGCCTTTCTTGTCAGAGCTGTTTTTATAGTAGAAAGGTGACAAGACACTTTTGTCTTTGAAGCAAATAAACTGTACTTCCTATTCAAACGAAAAACAGTTAATTAACGCTTTATTACAACACAGAAAGTACAATATCAAAATACATATATGAGTTAAGAAGAAAAAGATTAAATAATTGGATATTGTTGACGTAATTACATTAACTAAACTAGATAACTATTACTGATTGTTAAGCCTAATCTTACTATAAGAGAAACAAGATTAAAATCATATGGAACCTCTGTTCCACCCTTATAAGCCAGGACATGATCTTGACTGAACCTCAGAGAATCTGGAAGCTTCTTTGGTGATTTCCTCTTTGATTAGATAATGTGTTAGCATTGTCTTTGCTCCTTTTGTTTTCCTATAAACATTTGTCTTGTGGTCCATATGAAGTAGAGATACTGGAAATCCAATTTTCTGAACAAACTAAAACTGAAAAGCCACTGTCATGGACTTCTTCAAATAAAATGGGTTGGGTGTTTTCTTTTTTTGTCAAAAATTCGTGATAGTGAGACATGACTATTTAAAATACTGCCTTGCAAACCCTTCAAAAAAAGAAAATCCTACTAATAAGTGGCAAATGGAAATACTGTTTGTGAACTGAAAAAATAATGTTGGTGCACATGTATTTCCTTAATAAATGATGGTGGTTATTCTTTAAATGCTTAAATATCTGGCCTTTCCTTTCAAAATCATTCTCCAAAGCACGTTCTATGCTATTCACAACATCTCGTAAACAGAAAAACTGTTCACTCATTTAAAACAAAATCAGTACCAAAAGTCCTGGTTGTCATTGGTTTCACACAATGCCGGCGATATGTATACTCCGAGACATAGGCTTGTAAGTTTCTCCATACATTTCTTGTCACAGTTGTTTATCAGGGAATCATCCTCAAGACGCTTTTGCTCTCGACAGGTAGACAATTTTGTCGTTTTTTATGTTTCCAAGAAGATTAAAATCTTTGAAACCTCCCTTCCACCCATAAAACGCGAGGGCAGTTTTTTTAGGCTGCATTCCATCCACTCAGTAACAAGGACTGGGGACTGCTTCCTAGATTATCGTTTGTTCCCCCAATAAACTGTAATAAGCAAGGGTGACGGCATCTGGATGCTATGTCCATTTCTCTCTTGAAAAATCCTCTGTTGTGAGACGAATGGATTAGGAGCTCTTCGTAAATCTGTTTTGTGTGTTTGAAGCAAATCAAATGTTGTTCCTCTTCATACGAGAAACAAGATTGAAATCATGTGGAACCTCAGTCCCATCCTTATAAGCCAGGACATGATCTTGGATTCAAAGAATCTGGAAGATTCTTTGGTGATTCCTCTTTGTTTACATGATGTGTTAGCATTAGCTTTGCTCTCTTGGTTTTCCTATAAACATTTGTCTTGTGGTCCATTTATGAAGTAGAGAAACTACAGCATTATCAGCTACTTTATTTTTCCTATAGACATTTGTCTTCTTAGCGAGGTTGGGAAACGATACTGGAAATCCATTTTTCTGATCAAACAGAAAAATTATGATCACTATCGTGGTCTCTTCAGTCGGTTACTTGATGTCCCAATAGACATTTTCCATACCTTGTCAGAGCTGTTTAGTGGAAAAGTAGCAAGAAACTTTTGTCTTTGAAGCAAATAAAATGTTGTTCCTATTCATACGAAAAACATTTAATTAATGCTTTATTGCAACACAGAAAGTCCAATACCAAAATACATATATGAATTAAAAAGAAAAAGTTTACATGATGAATACATTAAATAATTAGATATTGTTGACATAGTTAGATTAACTAAACTAGATACCGGATTGTTAAGCCTAATCTCATAATTATACGAGAAACAAGATTAAAATCATGTGGAACCTTTGTTCCATCCTTATAAGCCAGGGATGATCTTGACCGAACTTCAGAAAATCTGGAAGCTTTTTTGGAGATTTCCTCTTTGATTAGATAATGTCTTAGCACTGTCTTCACCCAGTCAGGTGATTGTTGGCTTAAACGTAATTCTCTCAACGCTCGCTGAGAAGCTTCGAGGGAGATCTCCAGTTCGTGTACTTCCCGTTCCTTAGCCCTTAAACGTTCTTCCAGAAAGGTAATCTCGACCTCTTTTTCTCTTAGCTCCTGTCTCAACTCTCTTAATTTGCCTTAAAGAAATAGTGATAGAAGGAGGCCATTTTCACATATTTGTCTCATAAGATATATTAAAAAGAAGCTGTGTTAACTCTCCTTAGTCCAAGTTATTCATCTCTCTCCTGTAGTTCAACTTTGGCATTATCCAATGGCTGTGTCAACTCTCTTAATTTGCCGTAAAGGAAGTTAGATTCTTTTACCAGATATTTCCTTTATCACAGTCTCCTCTTGGGTGTTCTCATTTGCATCTTTTTCTTTTGCAGGAACAAATTCTTCTCTTCTTCTCTCACCAGCTCCACTTCCGATTTTTCCATCCTTAGAAGAAAAGGAAAAGGCATATCGGGCCTTTGTCACACGGCGACCTTCAGAGAACCTGGAAGCATTTTTGGTGATTTCCTCTTTGATTAGATAATGTGTTAGCACTGTCTTTGCTCCTTTTGGTTTTCTATAAATTTATTTTTTACATGAAGTAAAGATAGCGAAATCCATTTTTCTGAACAAAAATAATTTAGCTGAAAGGTCACTGTCATGGTTTTCGTTAATCAATTTGCTCGGTGTTTTCCTTTTTTCGTCAAAAATTCCTGATAACGAGACATGGCTATTTAAAATATTGCCTTATAAACCCTTCAAAAAATACTAATAATAAGTGGCAAATTGAAATACTGTTTGTGAACTGCAAAAATGTTTGTAAACTTTGGTGCATACGTATTTTATTAATGAAGGATGGTAGTTATTCCTTTTAAGCATTTAAAAATGCTTAAATATCCACTGAATATCTTGCCTTTCCTTTCAAGATCATTTGCCAAAGCAAGTTCTATGCTATTTACAACATCTCGTTAATGGAGAAACTGTTCACTTATTTGAAACATAATAATATACTTGAAAAAATTTATCGATTGTGATTGGCTAAGAGAAATGCAGTTTTTTGGTAACACAGTGCAGAAAAAAGGTAATTAAGTGCAGAAAAGAGGTAACAAACGAGGCATTCTGATTGGTTAATAAACAAAGGAACTCACTGAGAGCCAATCAAGTGCGCCATCTGAATGGCGCAAAATTTGGATCCGCTCTAAGACCAGTTTCGAGCAAAAACCGCAATGGCTGGCGTTTGTAGCAGATTTGCTTTTGCGACCGCAACAACTATAGAGGAGCTGAAAAACTGCTCCAAAAGCGAAAACGCTGCAAAAAGCACCGATTTTTGGCTCTCTGTCTGGAAGAAGTGGTGCTTAGAGAAGAAAATTACAGATGAAATAGAAAATTATGAGCCGGCTGAGCTTGACACTTTGCTCGAGCATTTCTACGCCGAAGTAAAAAATAAACAAGGTGAAGATTATGAACCAGAAAGCCTCAAAGTAATGATGGCATCGCTTGACAGACACTCAAAGAACAAAGGCTACACATTGTCCATTGTACGTGATCGAGAATTTAGTTCGTCCAAAAAGGTGTTGGAAGGCAAAGCGAAACAGCTTCGCTTGGCTGGCCGTGGTAAGCGCCCAAACAAAGCTCGACAAGTATCAGACGAGGAAGAAGAAATTCTCTGGAAGAGCGGAAAACTCGGAGGTAATAACCCAGAATCTTTAATTCAAACAATGAGGTGGCTCCTTACCCAACACTTTGGTCTTCGTGGAAGGCAAGAACACCACGGAATGAGACTGGACGATTTCAGAATCATGAACGATGACGACGGCATCGAATTTGTTGAGTTTGCAGAAGGGCCTACGAAAACAAGACCTGGAGGTTTGAGTGCAAAGCCAAGACAGTTCCAGCCCAAAATGTTTCAGACCGGGGAAGGAAAATGTCCAGTTGCTTTATTTCGTCAGTACATTAGCCGTAGACCTCCCAATCTGAGGACGAGTGGTCCATTTTATCTCTCGATAAAGTACAACAGACGAGCCAACGACGAAATTTGGTACAAGGTACAGCCCATGGGAGAAAATAAAATCAACTCCATGGTGAAGAGCATCATCTCCGGAACCAGCCTTGAGACATCTGAGAAGCGGTTTTCACAGTACCCGTAAAACAGTAGTCAGCAAAATGAAAAAGGCGAATCTCGAAAGGTCGGCAATTGCAAAAGTCACTGGTCACAGAAATATCCAATCTTTAGATGACTACGATGAAGCAGACGAAGACGAACAGCGACAGCTTTCGTGGGCCATCTCACGAAAGAACAGCACACCGAAGCCAGCGGGTAATACACCTGGTCCTTGTACTTCAAGTGCAGTAATTCCTCATCAGATGAGTTCACAAGCGCAGAATGTAATGAATTCCCTCACCAACTGCAATGTAACATTCAACCTCAACAACAAGACTTCGCCTACCTTCGCCCTTGCAAACGGCGATTGCGTTTCATCGAAAGTGACTCCGATACAGATTGAACGATTCCATGAACTGTTTAGCCCATTTCTGCGGCTTTTAAACTTTAAAAACGTCGAGAAAAATGTTGTTTTGACTGCACGTGTGATGATATTTGCAGCACTTGAATAAATTATTTTTACACGTGGTTTACGTGACTTTTAAGCTATCTCGCAATTTTTTCATGAATATTATTAATAAGTAATCACATGATTTTTCTCGTGCAATTTGGAATAAATAAGCACTCGTAAATTTTTTCAAAGACCACAAATTGCACTCGCCCAACGGGCTCGTGCAATTTTGTTAGCCTTCGAAAAAATTTACTTGTGCTTATTTATTCCAAATTGCACTCGAAATCATGTGATTACCTGTACAAATCAGCTTCAAACGTCCTGGTAGATATTGGTTTCACTCAATGCCGGCTATATGTATACTTAGAGATATAGGCTTGTAAGTTTCTCCATACATTTCTTGTCACAGTTGTCAGGGAATCATCCTCGAGACGCTTTTGCTCTCGACAGGTAGACAATTTTGTCGTTTTTTATGTGCGCAAGAAGATTAAACTCTTGGGGAACCTCCCTTCCCTTCATGAAAAGCGAGGACAGATTCCATCCACTCAAAGAGGGGACGGCTTCCTAAATTATCGTTCGTTGCCCCAATAAACAAGGGTTTCCTGCATCTGGTTGCTGTGTCCATTTGCCTCTTGAACAATCCTCTGTTGTGAGACAAATGAATTAGGAGCTCCTCCTAAATCTGTTTAACTGCAATATTGCAGCCGCAAAAAGTTCCTTCGACTACACTTCCCCATGCTCCCATCCCAAGATATTTCTGCGTCAACTGAAGTTCGTCGCGGGCAATGACCCAGTCAGGTGACTGTTGACATAAACGTTCACTCAATGCTTGCTGAGATGCTGCGAGAGGGGATCTCAAGTTCATTTACCTCCCGTTTTTTGGCCCGTAAACGTTCCTTTTAAAAGATAATTTCTACATCTTTTCCCTGTAGCTGTCTGAATATTTGTCAGCTGCTGTCTGATTACTAATTGTGCTTAAACGTTATTTGCCCAGTTAGAAAATCTACATATCCTGGATGACCGGCCTTTTCTTGCTCCCTGGCATACCCTATGAGAAATGATTAATAAAAATTATTACTGAAAAAAAAAAAAATTCGAACTATAGACAGCTTGGTGAGGCGTATCTTTGGCTGATTTCTTGTGTACTTACAAAATTGATGTACAGTAGGTGGGTAGGTTTTAATCCATATGTTAGAGAACTGCTAAAATTTATTGCTCACAAAAAGCCCGTAGGTGGATTTTTCTCATGAATGGAGTTAAGGTATTGACTTAGGTACATGCCAGCAAGGGAAGCTGCAGGAAATGGCTAATTAATGCCAGTACTTTCCTGAAATAGTTATCTAACCCACAAACCTGAGGCTAACGGTGCCGTAATTTTATCCCGCCCCACCCTCTCTCTCCATCGGTGCTGCAATTTATGGGTATTTAAGACGGAATCCACCAGGAAATTGAGTAATTTTAGCAGCATACGTAGTCTGTTGGGTCCCCATTGTTCTAGATAGGAGGTCTATTGTCTTTCGAGCCTTCTGATTGGTCGAGAGGATATGTCGATCTATTGTTGGGGGAAATCGGAAATATCTTAGAACGAGGCTCGGGTGTAGCCGGAAGCGATCGGAGAGGGCTCGGGTCCCTTCGGAACGGGGTCGGAATTATGTTAAAGAGGGATGATGTCATGAGGCAAGAAGGAGAGACACAGCATGCGCAAGGCAGAACGCAGGCGCAGTAACGAAAAACGTTGTGAATAAATTTGTTTAATCAAATTACAAGTATTATAAAGTCAGAGAAAAGTCAGAGATATTGGAATAACAGTCGATCAGCCAGTCAAGAAGAAATCCATTTACCAATAAATCGAGAATGACTGGATTGCCTTGCGTTCCATTAACTGGATATCGGTACAATGGAATCGAAGGACCGTAATAGGCGCGCAGAAAATCTAAAATGAGAGCGATTCGAGCATCGTTGAATTTCTTTTCATGCTTGTTCTCTGTCACAACCATATCAATCTAGAAGAAAAAGTGTGTTTAAGAAATATTGCTTGAAGGTAAAGGATTGTGAAATAGTCACTGACGTAAGCAAGATTACGAAAACAAAGGGCAAATGAATTGCAAAATAAAATAAACGTTCAAACGTACCGAGTATTGCTTGGTTTTTCGTCTAAAACAGTGAGGACAACCGTAAAAGCTAGGATAAGGTTTGTTTTCCATAGCAGAAGAAAAACGTTTGTAGCCACTTGAAAACGAAAATGCCACGAACATTGGAATGCCTGTTCTAAGGCAACGGGGAAGGCGGGTAAATTAAGCATTCATTTTTTTCCTTCTGTCATTTGTCATGAAACATTGGGTCCAGAACATAATGATAACTTGAACCTCGAAAGGTAGCAGGTTGCCGAAAGGCTTGTTTTTTGGGTCTACTAAGCCCTTGTATTTTATTGCTTCGTTAGCAAAAACAGCACAACAGAAGTGTCTTGCCATGTGCTCTATGCAAATGCTAGGTGTGTGAAAAACACAAGGGAATAGGCTAAATCAATCGAGAGTAAAAAAGTCGCTGGGGAATCGAAATTACACAATGAAAGAGTTAAGCCAACATATAGAAAACTAAAAGAAGCTAAAACGAGGCTCGGGTGATCAATGGAAGGGGTCGGAAAGAGTAGTCAGTAAAACATATGATGCAATATGCAATGAAAGGAATAAGAATATGTAATGTGTAAAAATATCAAACGCAAAATTACATGTTTAAAAATATCAATCGCAAAATTACAAAATAAAGGAAAGGGCAGCTGGTAAACGAGAATATCTGTCGTGTAAATAGTCTAACAAAAAGTCCAAAGTATCCTTAATCCTCTGAGTTGGTCTCTTGCCGTGTACCGGTAGTTCAAAGAGCTGTATCTCTGGATGAGCCTGTCTAAATAACTCCAAAATATGGGCCAAACTTGCATCATATTTTTTTGTCTTCGTTTCCTATATCGACAATCACATCAATCTACAAGAAAAAAGAAAAAATCTTAGTGGTAAGCATGAAATAAAACTGAAGCGAAATTGATGAACATACTTACCGACACTTGTTGTGTGTTCCTTCTGAAACAGTGAGGACAACCGTAAAAGCGAGGATATGGTTTGTTTTCCATAGCAGGAGAAAAACTTTTGTAACCGCTTGAAAGGGTAACGGGTAAATTCTGCATTCATTTTTTTCCTTCTGTCATTGGTCATGAAACATTGGGTCCAAAACATAGTGATAACTTGAACCTCGAAAGGTAGCAGGGTGCCGAACGGCTTGTTTTTGGGGTCTACTAAACCTTTATATTTCATTGCTTGAAGCTTCGTTAGCAAAAACAGCACAACAGAGCGTGTCTTTCCATGTGCTTTAGCAAATGCTAGGTGTGTGGAAAACACAAGGGAATGGGCTAAACCAATAAAGTTGGAAAAAGTCGCAGGGGAATCCAAAAAGCACCAATGAAAGAAAAGCCAACAGTTAGAAAAAGGAAAAGAAGCATGAAGTAAGCCTCATTTCGCTTTACCGTTGTACCTTGTTTCTTAATCGAAAATGATGTCCCTTCAAGAACTAAGTCTGAAAGCTGTGCCACACCCGGGGGAGCAAGCCAGAAAGTTTTTGCCGCCATGGCATACTGTACGTATTGTACTGGGAGAAAGGGAATTCAATGAAAGGATTGACAGGTTCAGAGAGGAACACAAACTTCGTTTTCGGTACGTACTCATTGAATTGCATGTGTTAGAAGACTTAAACTTGACCCTGCCCTTGTATCCCAGCCACGTGTGATGGCTACAGAGAAGTTAGCTAAAGGCGTGGATTGTTCTTTGTTTAGATAGACGCTTATAGACATAAGGACATTAAGAGATCTTGACTGGACGTTATCCATGAAAATATATTTTGCCAACTTTCTCCATCAATTTAGACTAACGTTACAAATCGTAAAAGCAGTTATATGATATCAGACGGCTGATAACAGTTATATGACAGCAGACGTGTGATGTCAGGTGTCTGCTGTCATATAACTGTTATCACACGTCTGATGTCTACTATCAGACGTCTGATAACAGTTATATGATGTCAGACACATGACAGCAGATGTCTGCTGTCATGTAACTGTTATCACACGTCTGATGTCTGATTTTATCTGTTATGATATATGTAATGTTTGATGTCAGACATCTGCTGTCATATGACATCTGATGTCTGCTGTTATATAACTGTTATTAGATGTCTGATGTTATATGTTATGTTATATAACTGTTATCAGATGTCTGATGTTATATGTTGTCAGACGTCTGGTAACAGTTATATGACAGCAGATGACTGCTGTCATATAACTGTTATCACACGTCTGATGTCTGATTTTACATGTTATGTCATATAACTGTTGTCAGACGTCTGATGTCTAATATCAGATGTCTGATAACAGTTATATGATGTCAGAGGTCTGATAACAGTTATATGACAGCAGACATTTGATGTCAGACATCTGCTGTCATATGACTTATCAGATGTCTGATGTTATGTTATGTTATATAACTGTTATCAGACGTCTGATAGCAGTTATATGATGTCAGACCTCTGATAACGGCTATATGACAGCAGAT